ATATTAGATGGATCCCTTGATTCATTTCCCAGTTTGTTAGGAATTTGGAAACACTGTGAAGGAGTTACATGCAAATCATAATCAGTTTGGTAAAAAGGGGTGAAAGAAGGAGTCAAAAGAAAAGGTATCACTGTGCAGGGAGTACCAGTAAGCCAGGATGACCTGTAAAAAACCCTGAACCCTGTTGTGAAGTTTAACAGCACCAAGGACTGATACCAATCACCACCCATACCCATAACAACACAAAACATAACACTATTGCAACCAAAAAAATGTAATCAAGAGGTACATTCAGTGTTCTAGCATGATCAAATCAGTATTTCTGTCACAAAACACAAATAGTTAAAATCAGCTATTAGCCTTTTTGCGTTCTGTCAAGGTCCCACGGGGATCTTCTGTGAAATAAAACAAGACACAAACTTGCTCTTTTTGAGCTTTGTTAATAGGGTTAAAAAATGAGGGAACAATACAGCAAGTGTTGATTTCATATTCCTTTTTCGGGGTGTCTTTAGCCTTCCAAAGATATCTGTTAAGGGATCCTGTTAAGGTTAGTGGAAACTGGCCTCAGGCTAGCTGAGTCAATCGACAGTCTGGCCAGGGAGATAAGAGTGTTTCCCTGGCTTATCAGCTACTGGATCGTGACTCACATGGATAACTGGCAAGAGTGGTGAGGTCTTTGGCAGAAGGTGTTAAATCGACGATCTTGTTTCCCTTCGTTGTGAGCTTTCTAATGCATCCACCCTTCACCGCCCCCACCCCGCTCACTTAGGAGGGGCGAAGACATCAGTTTTCTAATGGCTCGGATAGCCATTCAGGTTCCCTGGGAGAGACCGTAGGACCTGGGGTTTTGCTTTCCTCAAGATTCTGGAGCTTTTGTTCTGGCCACCAGTTAACTAATTTCTCTAACCTGACAGTGGGTAATCCATTCATCAAATCTCGTGGAACACCCTTTTGTCAGCCCAGTATCCAGAGACAATTACGCTTATGATCAACATTTCGCCTACCTGTTTTTACTGACAGTGAGACCCTTCCAGTCCCACTGAGCTTTGAGCTAGGAGGCCTGGGGGCAAGGCTGACTACTGCAAGTCTTACTTCTCTTGGCTCAAATTTAATGGAGGAAGAAACCACTGGCCCATATTTCCTTCCATAGTTAATTAACTCTTGGGCAACCTCTCCCCACGTCCATGCTTTGTTTCCTGACTGCAGATGGTTGGGGGTTACAGTTCCTTCAAACACTGGCCGGGTTCTCTCTCCCTGAGACATAGCCTCTATTTTTCCTTCCTTGTATCCCTATAGGTTTTAACGACTCTGGAAGCCCCCTCATTAGAGCAGTCATTCTCTCAGGATCAACAGGCATCATCATAGGTGATTCAGGATGTGGCTGCAGCTTTCTATCATACATCATTTGGAGACAAGCAGCCTTTTGAACACTCTCTACTAACTGATCAGTTGTTCCAGTAATGGCAAGAGGGTCTCCCCATTCTAAAGGGTTGAGACCACCTGTACAATAGGCAGCCCTTTGCGTTAAGGACCAGAGAGCACGACTGTTACCAGTAGTTAAAAATACTCCTGGTCCCCAATAACCTTCTGCTTCCTTTTCTGTTAACCAAATCTGGTCGCCACCAGTGAGACTCATCCTCCGTACATATTCTGTTTCTGATTCCTCTGGAGAGCGGCTGAAATCTTTCTTCAATTTCGCCAGTTCAGTGGCTGAGAAGGGAATTTCTTTAACATTCATTTGAGGATCTAGATCCTCACTGTTATCGAATGTGTATTCAGTTTTTATCAAAGGACGCAATGGGGCTATTGGAGTTTCTAATTTATCTAGCCTTTCCTTCATTCCTGGTAGTTCCACCTGAGGAAAAGTTTTTTCTCGAGGCAAACTATGGGTGATGGTATGGCTGGCATGCTTACACGTTAGCAGTTCCTTAAAAGCCATTTGCAACAAAGCCGAATGTTTCTCTCTTTCTAATTGTTCCTCGAGATTAACTATTTGATTCTGCAGAGTTGTCACCAATTCTTGTGTTACTTTAACCGATTCCTACAGTGCTTGTATAGTTTGGGTTTCTGCCGAATGCTTTTCATCTCGGAACTCCACGGCTGCTTTTAAAGTGGCCCCGAGTACGGCACAAATAAAGGACTTCCCTTTTCCAGCTCGTGTACGAGCCTCATTCTGTAAGACACTAATGCGGTCCGAAACACTTTGCACGTTATACCAGTTCTGTCGTGCCCAGTCCACCCCTGACAAAGAGGGACGAGCACCATGCTTTTCTAAAAGTTCAAATAACACATCTTCACTTGTCATACTGGCATTACTGTTACTCATTTCTTAATACAATGAAAGATCTACAGTAAGGGAGGAGGAGGTACACGTATTCAAAAGCTCAGTTACTCCTTTCCACTCCTCCCAAGGAGATAGACCACAACTAAACAAATGCAAATGCTCCAATAACGCCTCCCTTTTGTTGACGGGAGCACAAAAAATATGAAGCTAAAGCTACACTTTCTAGGTTTCAATAGAGTAAATAAACTTTCTTGGAGAGGCACACACGTTTAAGTAACAAAACATCACGTTTAAGTAACAAAACATCACGTCCTCACTTCCCCAAGAGGCGCGTGTACGCAGACACACACACACACACACACACACACACACACACACACACACACACACACAAAAAAAAAAAAAAAAAAAAAAAAAAAAAAAAAAAGGTTCAAGTTTCGCACTTCAGTTACCAAATAACCATAGAGGTCTTCCCGAGGAGGCACACATGTATTAAAAAAAATGCAAGTATTCAAAATATGTCCCCGAGAGGTACACACATAAAAGGTAAAGTTTCAGAATATGGAGCGGTCTTCCTGGAGAAGGACTCACGTCTAAATTTTCAAAACTATTGCTCCTTGCAACTCCAGGAGGTACACAAAGAAAAAATTGCATGACTGGACTGGAACACTCGACCACTCTAAAACTATTGAAAAGGGGCCATCATCACCATGGTCGTCTCTCGTCGTGCTTCGTCAACAGAACAGAGTTCTGTTGAAGCAGACCTCATACATACACATTGAATCAGCTGTACAATTTTCTCTTCATGTTTCCAAAACAGCAGGAGTTTACCCCTGACCTACTCAATCTTTGGTTCAGGCTGTGACCTAGCAACTCTGCTGCACTCCATCCCTTCACAGCCCGAACCAATGATTGAACATTAGTTGAGAGGTCAAGGCTATCCCAGGGAGCTGAGGTGCAAGCAATGATTGGAAAAAGTGCTTTTATTTAAGTGTTAGCAGCAGAGGGAGCAGTATCTCTCTGAGTTTGCTCTTCTTTTGAGTTGTTACTAGTTTCTGGAAGGGGTGAGCTAATTTTTCTTCATTACCTGCTGCTATGGTTCTTGTAGGTTATGTATGGTTACCTGTTAGGTATGGTCGTATGGTCTTGTATGGTTACCTGCTATGGCGCTTATATCTCATTAGAAAGCACTGTCATTACATTCTTTTGCCATGTGACTTAGTTTAAAATATTTTCTTAAGGTGACAGCCTTTTCTCAGTTCTGTTGCTTTATTTTTCCATGCTGCTCTGCAAACCTTGCTGTGACTCTGGGCTAGGCCTGGCCACTCATCAGGGTAGAGCTGCTGCCATGATAGATACAGCTGTAGGGGGTGCAAGTTGAGTTGGGATACACGTAGCATGTGGGTTACAGGTTGTGTATGCCTGAGTATCTAATTACACTGAAATGTCTTGCCTGTATGCATGTGGTGGCTGGAATCCCTCTGCATTGTAGAAGCAAAGTTCAGAGCCAGAAAGTAAGGGAACGCAAAATTATGAAAAAAGAAGAAATGATCTATGGAAAACTAATTGTTATAGATGTTATTTGATCCTTGAAAATCATAAAAATAGTCTTGGGGAAAAAAGAAAAAAAGAAAAATGCTGGTTTGGACTAACGGGCTTACAGCAGGTCAGAAAAGAAGAAGGTTTGAAGAAACAAAACTTTGGATTTGCTACTTTTGAACATTTTCTATTTTTTCTTTGTCAAATCCTAACCATTTTAAATGCATAGGTTTTCTTCAGTTTTGTTTATTTTGTGGTTTGTTTTTTTTTTTTTCCCCACTTTTGCTCAGATTAATGACTTGCTTCGTTCCTTAACTTTATCCTGTCTTCCCGAAAAGTGTTGTCACTTGAACTGGCTTAGCATATCTACTCTATTTATTCTATAACACCCCCGAGTTTTACATTTCAGTTGAAAAATACACTATCACTATAATCACCAGGAAGAAGAAATAGTTGCTTTAAACTTCTAAAGAGGTAAGATCACTTCTGAAGAAGTAAGATCTCAATCCTATCAGTCCTCCAACTGAGAGTGTGACGAATGGATGTCACAAAAGGAGAAAAAACACAATCATCTAGGAAATGTAAGGGTTAATGAAAGGTAATATGTCACTTCATGGCAATAGTAACACTTTTCTGATCATACAAATCAGGGACAGTCAGCAGTATGCTAGGGTTGCACTCAGGATGGAGTACTCCAGATGTGGTCTCACCAATGCAGAGCAGAGGGGCAGGATCATCTACCTTGACCTGCTGTCCATGATTCTTTTGGTGCAGTCCAGGACAGGAGTGGCTTTCTGGGCTGTGAGGGTACACACTGCTAGTTCATGTCCACTTGCTATTTACTAGTATCCCTATGCCCATTGTGGCAGGGCTGTTCTCTGTCCTTACATCCTTCAACTTGTACTGATACAAGGGGTTGGTTGCCATTACCCATGTGCAGTACCTTGCACTTGGATTTTTTGAACCTCATGAGCTTCTCCTTGTCCCACAGAAAAAGAAAAAAGCAGGTGACTGTCAAAATATTATCTAAATACACTAAATACTAATACACCTGTATATATGTATGTAATATACCTGTAATGGAATACTGTTGAGAAGGTTCATCCTCTATTGTCACACCACCAGCATCAGCCTCTGATATTGTGGACGAACTTACTGATGGTGTCAATTGCCTAAGCAAATTAGGCCTTTGAAGAGAAAATTGTACAGCTGATTCAATGTGTATGTATGAGGTCTGCTTCAACAGTACCATCTCCTATTTGATTATATTCGTCCACAATATCAGAGGCTGATGCTTGTGGTGTGACAATAGAGGATGAACCTTCTCAACAGTATTCCATTACATTTTGTTGTCAGCCAACAAATAACAGGAGAGAAGCCGTCTGACAAAATGGCATTTAACATGGAATTGCAGATGATGCAAAGCTGAGGAACTGACTTCCTCTGTATGGAAAAAATTGCACCCACCAACATTCACCGACACTTGCTGGATGGAGTCCAGACAATGGACATGAGCTCAGGGAGGTGGTAGATGTTGGACTTCAGCAGTGGTGACAACAGCAGTAGTTTACCTCTGCTGATGCAGATTTTTACAAATGCAGCATGCAGGCTCATGTTCATTGCTAAATCACATCAAAAATGCATAGCTAGTGGTGGTGACTATGTTAAAAAATAGTATTTTGAAGCTGAGTTCAGGCTGACAGAGGAGTGAGCTGCAGTTTCTCTCTTGTCCTGACACAGCAGATGGATGTGCTGTGCAGTAGCTTAGGCAGTCCTTACGCACGCAGCTTTAAAAGCCATCAGTAGTGCACAACACTTAAGAGCTCACGTTTCCGTTCACACAGGTTTGCTTTAGGATCCGAGCTCAACATCCTGCACTGCTGCATTGTTGAAGGTTCTGCAATCTCCACAGCCCGCAGTTCCTGCTGAGTTACTCAGGCATTTGGCTCTGGTTTTGTCCCAGGATAGAGAGGCCTACCCAATATATTAAGAAGAGCACTTATCGCAAAAAGAAAAATCAAGGCCTAGAAGTACAAACAGCTGCAGTAATTCCTCTCCTCCAAACTGAAAGTGAAAAGCACACTTGCTTTGAGATAATACCAGTAGAACAGAAAAGGTTGCATTACAGAGCAATCTGTAACATAATGCAGCATTCGCATGAGTACATTTCTTTACAACACAGCAGCATAAGTAAACCTAGCTTTACGTACATCACGCCACCTGCACAGCTTGCTAACGCAAAGCTTCATTCTAATATTGCCCTTGGTGACCTGTAACAGTAACCTTAAGGTGCTAAAAGAGAAGCAGCACAGTCTTGTACTGCCTTAGGTCAAGCTTTAAATACTTATTGTCAATAGCAAGATACAGCACAAGGTCCCAGTTGAAACATGCAGCTGCATTTACAGCTTAGTACCCAACTCGGCTCTTTTTGTACGCCTTGACAAGCTCAGCTGCAAAAGGCACACTGGGTGGGCTGCAAGAGCTGCAGAGCGACTCACTGACAGTGACCAACACCCAACCAAAGCTCGTTTCCTTCACAAGACCTCCTGCCTAATGAAGACTGCTGATAATACAAAGGTAACGAGCACCATCGTACACATTTCTATCCAGAAGTCAATGATCAGATGTAGTCTAACTCTGCAAAACATGATCGCCGTGCGACAAAACCCAGGATGAGAAGAACAAGTCAGCTGGTTGCATGCTTCCCAAACACTGCACTGCCATCACAACTAAATGGGAACTGAGAATCCAGACATTATTGTAATAGAAAAGTAATCAAAGCCCCAGTGAGCTTCTGGATCTCACCAGTTTCTCTGAAAACAAAGTGGTGGAAGTGAGTATTACAAGTCCGTATGTAAAACGTGTCTATGTAATTAAAGTATGCAATGCATGTTTCCTAAAGCACTATAAACTCTCTGAGTTGCAACTCCTGTCTACTGTAAGCAAATCAGGAATAAAACAACCACAGAAAAATTAGTTATGCACCACCATATTATAATTGCTATTTCTCAGAAAGCCTCTTGCAGGTGATCAAAGTTTATCAGCTCAATGCCTAAGGAAGTTTCTTTATACAATTCCTGCTTACCTGTCCTGCTATAAACTTTGACCATAGATCAGTTTAACAGACTACAAGTGTATCACACAGCCTTACATATAAATGAGGTTAAAGTGTTTCAGAGGAAAGCACTCTCACTTTTCAGGAGCAGGCAGAATGTTATCTATGCCAGCCTCATGAAAGACACTTAAGTTACAGAGGGCTTTTCCCTCCTAATGTCATGTCACATTTAACTGCTGTACGCTATTTTCTGTATTATTCTGCTAAAACTAATCACTGAATGAAATAGCTGAAGACGCTGCCACGGACAAATGACACAACTGACCTTGTATAGCATACAAAAACTAAAAGAACTTTTCTAATAGCAGCTGACTGGCTGATTTTAAGCAGAAGAGACCCAATTTCTGCAAAGTTGTGCATGGAGACGAAAAAAGGAATCAGCAGTTTTCTTCACACACAGATTAACCCTTACTTTCTTTTGAGAAGAAATGCATTTCCTTCTTAGCCTCAAAGCAGCAACAAGGACATGAATAATGCATATAGTAGAACTTATATTAAGATTCCACTTCAGCATAACATAACTCAAAGAGAAGTGAGCTTCCAAAGAAGGGTGTGCAGGGAAGGAAACAGTGACAGCACAGTGTTAACTGATGTGAAATACTGTCTCTTTCCAACTGATGTTCTAAATGAGGTTATTGACTTTTGCACAGTTAAAATACAGAGCTCTCACTTTATGGAAAAAGTAAATCAGACCATGCAATGAAAGCTTGGAGCTGTACAACAATAATTAAAGGACATCATATCCACTGGAACTTCACTTGAGAGTCTGAAGGAATTCCAAATCTCTGACTTAAAAATTAAGCTGTTTTCCAGCCAGTAAGAAGACGAATTTGTACGGTTCAACTGCAGCCTCCTTTAAAATGCCCTCCATAGCATACACGGACTTACAAAGTTCAAAATAAAATCTTCAGATTAAAAAAAAAAAAAAGTCTAAGGATCCCGTGTTCCTGTTAGTGCTTCATGCCTGCAGCTACCACAAGAGGTAAGGAAGCAAATCTTCTCTAGAGAAAAATCAGACAAGCAAAGCACATGTGATAACAAGGGAACTTCAGAAGCACATTTCACTTTTAAGAAGGAAAACAGACATACCTTCATCCATTTTCTATGAAATGCCCTTTCATTCCGTATCTATAAACCAAAAAGTAAACAGAATACAGAATAGAATATTTATTGATATACAAAGTAGTAGCGCATGCACATAAATAAATATTTCACCATTGTTACTGAACTTTTTCATCAGCCCTCCCAGGAAATAATGAAAATTCAAGGCAGGTGCTTATTTCTCTCATCCTTCGGCCCACAGCTTGCAGCCTTACTGAAAAGAACACCCATGCCGTGAGAGCTCTATACAACGCTTGGCCTCGTCACACGTTATATGCTATTAACGTCGTCTCTACAGCTTGCAGACAATGCTTTTCTCCACGATTTCACTTCAAGACGTGGTCATACAGAATGTCAGTAACAACATGAAAACAGGACGTTACTTAAATACTTCACATGCAGAACTTATATTCTACTGTAAAAGCACAGGAAGGCAAAAACTTGTGTTGGACACACACCTCCTACCCCACTCCCTCCAAGGTCCATTTCTCAAGCATCAACGTGTTACCAGAGTGCAAGAGTGACATTGACTGAAACAGTCAGCAACAGGAAGGAAAACACTCCAGAAGAGATGGACACTGCATGTACCTTCCCAAAGTGCAATACAAAGGGCAGACTGTCTCAGTGGAATGGGAACCACAGCTTTAGAAGCTTTACTGCAGACAGTGAAAATTCAGAAATGCAGCCTTAATGATATTCACCATTGTGATCAGGTCTAAACATTAACATCATCTGACATGAGAAGATTATTGGGAAGCCACTGCCTAGGATGTTATGCTACTGCAGAAAAGCAAAACAGTCTGAGAGAAGCATCAATGCAAGCATACCAAGTCCTAGAGCTTCCCTACCTTGTCTGGTGCCACATAAAAACATTGGTCTGTTAAAGTAATTAAGGGTCAGACGTGTTTGTTAGAACAAAGAGCATATAAAACCCAAGGCTTGGATTTACCAATCTGTTCAATTTTGAGGTTCCTCTCTTTAGCTTCTCTCATCAGCCACCGCTCACAGCCTCAGAAGTAGCTCTCATCATTTCCGTAGCACATCTCAGAGAACTCAGTGCCTTCTAGGAAGGAGACAGACATTATAAAGACATTATAAAATTCTCTGCATTGCTCACTGCCACACTATGCAGGCAGGCACACTGCTCCAGCATGGCTCACACATCCTTTCCTCTGTACTTCAAAACAAGTAGTGAAGGGAAGAAACAAAGCTGCCACTCTTCATTCTTATCACGTTAACTCAGCATAAACGTCTGGGTATGTTTCCCTTTTTTGGGGGGAGGAATCACTCTGTTTCTTGCTTTTTTAAAAAGAGACTATGCTTTCTTTTTTTGCAGCAGAATGTGATTAGCTATTGGGCATTTTCTATTCCTAGATACAATAATGCTAAAACCTGTATTCATGATTACCTTTGTCTCAGCAACCACTGAGAAATTCACAGCGTTAGGATCATAAGAAAAATAATCACCGTTGAAAGTACAATTAGCAGATAATGTGCACATGGTGACGTATAGGGGAAAGAGAGTAAGGGGGAAAAAAAAGCAGCACGAATTGAAATCCAGTCCCTTCTCAGACTTTGCTCACAGCAATCACAGACGCATTTCTACAGTGCGGGGGCGAGAGGAGGAGGAAGGTGAAAGGGAGGAGAGCACCGTCTTCGGAATGCGAGTGTAAATTTCCTTCACGAGTCTGCGGACACCAAAAGTGATATCTTTCGTGCAGCCTCAGCACAGCCACAGAGCACACGCGGCACATCTCAGCGAAGAGAGCACGGAGGACACGTTGCTGCAGCATCAGTGGCACAAGAACCCCGCACAGCCCCCAGCCGCCGGCTGCCCATCAGCTCTAACCTCCCCCTGGAGGACGCGTAACGGGGCACGGAATTTGGCCAGGGAAAGGAGAGAGAAATCAGGCTGAGGACAAGAACTGCGAAACAGAACGTCGTTCGGAGGACGCTCGTTCTCCCCTCCCACCAAGCACAACTCTCCCTCCCAGCCTGCGTTTCTCCGGCCCCACTCACTCCGCTGCCGCCGATCCCGGCCCTCCGGCGCCGTCCCGTACATAAGCGGCACCGACCCTGAGAGGCCCTGGACCCAATAGGGGCCGACTGCACGACGCGGCCAGGAGGAGCGGACAAACCCGGCACCTCACCGCCCTCACGACCCATCGCCCGCCACGTGACCGCGACCCGGCCGTCATCCGGGCAAGGCGGCCGCGGGGTGAAGCTGGCGGCCCTTTTCAGAAAGGGCAAGTTCAGAGCGGCAGAGGTGCGCTGCAGGGGGGCGCTGAAGAGCGGGTGAAGCAGTTGAGGAGCCATGTTGAGTGTGGGAACGCTGCCGGGCGGAGGCCGCGTGTTTGCACCGCAGCTGGACGGAGCTTCTAACATTCTAAACTCTTCTAATTTGGTAATTGGTAAATGCTTCATTTTACGTATATGGCGCACGTGCGGGTAGGTCGTGAGTCCTTGAAATTAAGAGATCCAATATTTATGTTAAAAAACAAAATGCAGTGAAGGCAAAAAGCGATGGCAGATGTATTTCTCAGAACTTGGGGAACGTCGTGGTGCTGACAGACACTGCTTCAGCTTGGTCGGTGGCTTTTGTCTGTAGGACAAACAAGGCGAGTACACAAGCACTGTTAAATGACATCATACCTCGATTCCGGGCACGTGTTGCGATACCGTTGGACAAAGGGTGCTCGGTACTGTGAGTGCTGCGGCAGCTCAGTCACACTGTGGCATTAGCTGGGAATTGCACACAGCCTGTTGAGCACAAGTGGGCATGTGGAAATTGCCTGATGAACAGCACATGGTTGAAATTCAGCTAGAGAACTTACACTGACACCAGGCAAAGAAGATGAGGGTAAAATCAAGATGTAAAGAATATTTGAGTCCTTTTGGAGTTCTGTATAGCAGACCTGACCAATTTCAGTTTAAAGGGGAAGCTCTGAGTCAATGAGGTGAAATTATTTACGCCCTACTGGGATGTGATGCTGGAGACGTTGCAGCCTGTGGCCTCACTGGGTTTTTCTCTTTGGGTTATTTTCCACATAGAGGACAGGTTTACACACACAACTAGAGGATGCTCTCCTGCTGTGTCATGAGAATCAGAGCCAACCCCATTGCTGTGTGAACTCTTCAAACCACAGAGGTAAGGTTCCTCAGCACAGCTGGATCCATTCCTAGTCTCAGATGCATTCAGGAGTTTGTGTCTAAGGAATCCTATGTGCACAGTCAAAGATATAACCTTAGTGAAGCTGACAATTCTCAAACCAAGTTTACTGAGGATCCATACCAGCAAGTTGTCTTGACATCAAGGTAGAAAGGATCTCAGTGCAGGTGTGACATTTTTGGCAACATCCAAGTAATTTTTGTCAGGACGGTATCTCTGATAAAAACAAAATTTATTCGCGATTGCAATGGCGGGCATCCCGCAAGTAGGAGCACGTCTATGGACACAACATGACAGCCTTTATACCCTGTTTTCTCCCCCTTGCCGCCCCCCCTCCCCTGTTTCCCCACTGGCTGGGTATTCCAGGTTCACAATCTTATCAGAAGGTTTACATTTGCTATTTACTTGTTAATTTATTTGTTATCTGGTGCCAGTCAGTAGTCATCCTCTTGTTTCCAAGATGCCTCGGTGCTCTCCTTGTCATATTGATATGGTGATTTTCTTTAAGGTCTTCGTTAAACAAAGAGCACTTGGGATGATGTCAGGCCTTCCCATGTCTCTTCAGGTGCTTCCTCGGGCAGACTATGACTTGTTCTCTGGTTTGCTCCCCTGCAGGATATCCCTGCAGTGTATATGACAAAATATACATATATACACCTATATACAGAGTGTGCATTTCTGGGAAGGTTCGTCTAGAGAATAAGTGATGTAAACTTATCAGAGATCTTCCCAAAGTTAAATAGAAGGACTCCCAAAAAGAACTATGATAGCAGAGATCATAAAATAAAAATAATATTATACAATTCTAATGCAGAAACAACATTTGATTCCCACAATTACCCCCTTTTTCTTTTTTTATACATTGTTGATTTCTGCAACTTTTTTTTTTAAGGTTCACTTTTATAGACGTCTCCCTTGTCTTCACTTTCTTTATCTCCCATCTCCTCTAATACCATCATTTTATCCAAATGTAAAAGCTCCATTGGTGTTTGCTTCAATAGTGCTGTCTTGATCAATAACTCCACTAGTCCCCTCACAAACACAGCAACCAATGGCCATCAGGGCTCCTGCTTCTACTATCAAAGAAGTAAATGTGGATACAGTCACCCCTTTCCATTCACCAAACCAGAACTCCAACTATACAGTGATAGAAGTATCTATTCCTGATTTTTCTGCCACTTCATCGACTAGGGTGGTACCAAGCCCTTGCAATGCCTTCACTATTATGTCATCCAGAGCTGTGTTATTGGGATGAAGGTGCAACAACGGGTACCCAGTGTTATATATACACTCTTGTATCATATCTTAGGAGATGCTATTTTCTCAGGCCATCCTGCTTGTGGCATTTAACTGTCCTGCAATTCTCCTCATTGCACTCTTTGTATAATTTGCAAATCTCCATTGATTATAACGGATGTAGTTAATCCAATCTACATTCTTGTTGATCATCACCCACCAGGACAGTGACTCAAACCCTGCAACAGTTTGATTTCTCACCTTAAAATCATCAGGGACAACAAGAAGTGAAAAGTTTAAATCCTTAGCTTGCCCGCATACCAAACAATACTGATATGCAATGATGTTTGTCACAAGAGATACATAAGTATTTACATCAAATGATGCACTCATCAAATCAACATTTCTAACAATTACAAAAGCCCACGTTCTTGTCTTTGGATTCACAATTTTAAGGGCCCAGCTGACTTCAGTTCTCATTGTGTTCAAGGGACCTTCTTAACTCTAGTATTATGTATCCACAATGCTTTTACTGTTGTGTGGGATGTTAGCAGCACCTGGAACAGACCTACCCACCTTGGTTCCAGGGGCAAATCTTAAAAGAGATTTGTTACATACATATTATCGAGTCATATCAAGGCCTTGGGCTCTAGTTCCTAGAACCAGTTTCTCCTTTTCTCAAAGCCATTCCTGCAGACTTATCACATGCTCAGTTAGTATTTTGCTCCCTACTTGGGTAGAAATCCCCTTTTGTACAACATGAGGCCTTCTGTACAGTATTTTGAAAGGACTTAACCCCTCTCTGGCTCTAGGTTTTGTTCTGGTACTAAGGAGAGCCAAAGGCAACAACTGTGATCAGGATAGTCCAGCTTCCTGTCTCAGTTTTACAACCTGTGATTTAATCAGACACTTTGTCTTTTCCCCTGACCACTCGCCTGTGGTCTGTGTGCTGTGTGCAATTGCCAATTTATTCCCAATGCTTGCTGACCTGTTGGACAATCTCTGCAATAAAATGAATTCCCTGGTTGAAGAGTATTGTTGCAGGACACCCAAACCTTGGAATAATCTCCTGCAAAAGTACCTTGGTTACTTCCTTTGCTCTATTGGTCCTGCAAGGGAATGCTTCTGGTCACCCTGAAAGGGTATTGGTTAGAACTAGCATATATCAAAACCCTCATTTTTCCTGGCAGTTCAAAAAAAAATCAATTTGCAATTGTTGTCCTGGAAGGTTCCCTTTCCAACAAGCCCTACTTGCACCCTGTTCCTGGTACTAAGATTGTACAGTTACTTTCTGGGGTCTGTACCCCCCATGTTTTATTATGTTCCCTTAGAACCAAATTCTATGAAATACTAATGGGCACAACAGTGTGTCCATCTGGGTATGCACCCATCTGTCAGCTTGCTCTCTTCCCTTCATTAATTAGATTCCTATCCTTTCTAGAGTACCTTATAGGTTCTGACTAAGGTTCAGGTATTTCAAGTTTACCGTCTGGAATTAAAGCCGTTCACCAATTTCTTTTCCTTCAGCTGCCTGTTTTGCCATCTTATCCATCATCATATTTTCAATTTCCTGTGCAGTGTCACTCTTCTGATGTCCTTTACAATGTATAACAGCCATGATGTTCTTTGGTAGATTTACATCATGCTGAATTTGTTTTCCTTGTGTGTAAGCAATCCTTGCTCTTTCCAGATGGTACCACGAGTGGGTACCACCCCAAAAGCATATTTAGCATCTGTCCATATATTTAAGGTTCTTGTCAAGGCAATTATTTCAGCCTTCTGAGTGGAAGTCCCTACAGGTAATGGTTTTGCTTCAGTTACCTTGTCAGTAGCAGTTACTGCATGTCCTGCCTTACGGTTTCCTTGTCTTCACAAAACTGCTTCCGTCGATGAATGCAGGACTCCTCAGCATCATCCAACGGTTCCTCCTGTAGGTCTGACCAACTTGCACAGACAGTCTCCATGCAGTCACACACTGCTGGCTTGGAGGGTGCTTGGCGTTCTGGGTGTTCAGCAAGTTGCTTCCTTCTCTTTGATCAGTTGTGCTTTCTGTTGAGAAACTTGATAGCCATTTAAATCAAGAAATTCAGCAAGCTCACAGTCCATTGCACACAGTTCTTTGTTACTGTAGCATCCACGTACTGCAGTAAAGTTCACTGTGAGATGGTGAATCCAAATCTCAGACTCACGAGTTGACCAGTTCTCAAAAATCACTGAGCTGTTCTCACAACCCTGGGTAACACTGTGCAGGTTAACTGAATTATTATTATTATTACTTTTAATTATTATTTTTTTTCCTTCTCTCCATATTTGAGTTTTTCTATACAAAGGCAAATAATTTTAGACTTTCTTTTGCAAAACCAGGCAGAAAAAGGTGTACTTCAAGTCCAGAACGGTAAATTCCACCTGCTTATTCCTTAATTCCTTAATATTCCTTAATAAAGATATACACCATGGTTTGTATATATTCAACTTTTCTATTAATTGCCCTCAAATCTTGTACCAAACTATAGCTCTTGCCATCCAATTTTTTCATTTGCAAGATTGGGTGTTGTATTTGGATTTCTATCCAATTAGTAATCCAAAATTTAAAAAAAAAATAAATATATTTTTATTTATTTTATCCTCCTACAATCTTGTATCCTCAAAGGGCATTGCTTTACCCTGGTTGGGCTGGCTCCCATCTTTAACTTAACTTTCATTGGGCTGCATTTTTGGCTCTGCCAGGCATCCCTGATGCCTGCAATCCTGTGTATACCCAATTTAGGATTTACGTAACTTCTGGGAGTACAACATTGCTTTTCCCAGTTTGTGTTAAAGCCAGACTTAAAATTTTCAGTCCATTGCTCTTGCTTGACAAGTAGTTCCAATCATCTCTACTGAATTTGATCTCTACATTCAACTATTCTAACATGTCATGCCCAAATAATCTTTTTTGGAGAACCTTGCATGTACAAGAATTTATATATTCCTACTTGTTCTCCTAGCCTCTACTTAATTGGTCCAAAAAAAAAGTAAACTTCTCTTGCCAGTAGCTGCTACAACTATTACAAAAATCATCTACGGGTAATAGTAAGACGCACCCAGAGGTACCAGAAAATAAACCTCTTCAGCCTGCTTCCCCTGCTGCTTTCAGTCCTGGCATGGTGGAACTCTCCCTGAGCCCTTCCAGGCTCCCCTTACTTCTTCTTCTAGGTAAGGACATCCCTGTTAACCTTGCTCAACTTTGCCTTCCTCAGTTTGTTTTTCCCAAACCCTTTTCACTTTTCAAACTCCCATCATCACAGACATTACTAACATTATATTTCAGTTTCACTCTCTTCTCTCCCCAGGCTTCCAGTGCTCACACTGGTTATCAGGTTTCCCCAGCTCTGCAGATGCCGGCCAATGTCCGTCCCATCCCCATTCACAAGCACTGCACCCTTCACATCACAGCAGGAGGCTCCAGCCCCCAGCTCTTTCTCCCACTCCAAGTTGTTCTTAGAAGCCGCAGTGGGGGTGTGTGCGGAGATGTGTTCTCATGCCGGCCCAACTCTAATATCCCAAACTCACTGTTTTCCTTAACCTTTTTGCCATTTTTTTTTTGTTTGTTTGTTTGTTTTTCCACAATTCCACTATTTGTACCCTCAACTGCAATTCCACATACCATTAACAATTGCAATTCCGCGTACCATTAAAAACTGCATTTCCACATAATTTCCACATACCATTAAAATTGCATTTCTGCATTTCCACATACCATTAAAACTGCATTTCCACATAATTTCCATAAACCGTTAACAACTGCATTTCCACATACCATTAAGAACTGCATTTCCACATAATTTCCACATACCATTAAAATTGCATTTCTGCATTTCCACATACCATTAAAACTGCATTTCCACATAATTTCCATATACTGTTAACAATTGCATTTCTTCATACCATTAAAATTGCACTTCCACACAATTCCGCATACCATTAAAAACTGCATTTCCACATAATTTCCACATACCATTAACAATTGCATTTCCACATACCATTAAGACAGTTTCTCCTAGTGCCTTCAAAATCCACAAATCAAACAACACAATTCCTCAACTTCCACAAACACCCAGCACTTGCACCCAGCACTTGGTCTCATGATTAGGATACTCAATAATAAAACTAGTCCCATTACTCCATTTACGTTCCTGGTTTCTTATTCAATATTCCCCCTGGCTCACCAACAATGTTTCTCCAGTGAGCCAAAATACAACCCAAGGGGTCTTCTCATATCACTTTAGACACCCCTTGTTCCATAACAGCCTCGTACACGACATAACATAACACAACACTTTCAGGACATAAACATTTAACAATCACACAGTGACAATAATCAGTACAATTTATCCTCAGGATCCTTCCTCTCTCTGCCTCCCTCCAGAGCTCAACCTTCCCTCTGTATTCATTTCCCATACTTGCATAGCTGCCAACCTCCTTCTCCAATAATCAACATATCAACGATAAACATCATTTCCATCCATGAGTACAAATTAGGCCCTAGAAATTGATCTAATTGTTCTGCTACACTTATAGGATCCTCAGTTAAGGAATTCTTCTTGCAACTCCTAACTTCTCTTCTAGTAAAAACAGCAGGCATTACCATACCCTATTTCCCTTTTACCTAAGACTGCCTTAAGAGGACAAAGTGAAGTATTAGTAAGGTTAGTATTAGAGAAAGAAAAACTCTCCAGGTCCCATTCGCATTACTCCAACTCCCTCAGTAATTGAGAGCGCATCCTCTCTCCAGGACCCTGCACAGATCAGCAGCACCCACTTTCCTCCTCTGGAGAGGTCACCACCGCTTTAGAAATTGCACTGCTCTAGAAATTAAAGGGGGGAAGTTATCTAAGGGATCCCATTTATGATCTTTCTGCTTTTCTTTCCTATTTCCTTTGAACTTCGACTCCTCGCGAGGAACATTTCTTTACTTCTTGCACTCATTAAGCGACCTAAGTCAATTCTGTTTCAGAAAAAGGAGTCTTACTGTTTACATATAAATACAAAGTCTGATAGGCCCAATTTTCTTCAGACTCCTATTTTGGTCAAAATAATGATTTTCCCTCTCTACTGTATACAGTATTTAAACTTTTTTTTTTTTTTTTCCTGTTCTTTTCCTAGTTTGGGGATTATTTTCCAATTTTGAAACACTTCTCCCAAGGGGCTGGCTCTCTCTAGGCACCATTCCGGGGACCTTTTTTCCCCTGCTCTCGGGAACTCCTATTACCCATCCCTCCAGAATGCTACTGTGAACTCCCCAGCTCACAGGTTACCACATTCTGATTCTCGGATTTTGGGCCCAATCCCTCAGGAGTACTATACTCCTATCTTGGATTAATAGGGGTGTACTGCTGGCACTTCGTCAAGTGCACAGGGTACCGCACACCAACAGTTCCCTCCCGAGACTCTTCCTTCCACCAACACAGCCGCTTCGTCCGTCCCTGGCCGTGCCCCTCGCGGGACAGCGGAACCGCAGGTCGGGACTCAGCACTCGCTTCGCACTGACAGCGTGTCTCAGTCACACACACTCAAGAGTCTCAACCAACCCCAAGGAAAGAGTTAAATCCCCTTACCTTGGTCCGTGCACGAAGTTACCTAGTCGCAATGGCCAACACCCGTGCCTACCAGCCCCTTGGCTTTTACAGAGTCCGTCCTTTATGAAACAGTCTCGGTTTTTTATCGGCCGTACCAAGGAGTCACCTCACCACCCAGACAGGACCGCTGAAATCAGCGGGGTGCACCTATCCTGTGCAGGGCAGTAGGGAAACTCTCAAAGAGGCGATAATAATCCCGGACGACCCCCCAAATTGTTGGAAATAATCCAAGTAATTTTGTCAGGACGGTATCTCTGATAAAAGCAAAATTTATTCGCGATTGCAATGGCGGGCGTCCTGCAAGTAGGAGCGCGCCTATGGACGCAACATGACAGCCTTTATACCCTGTTTTCTCCCCCTTGCCTCCCCCCTCCCCTGTTTCCCCAATGGCTGGGTACTCCAGGTTCACAATCTTATCAGAAGGTTTACATTTGAATTTGTTATCTGGTAGTCATCCTGTTGTTTCCAAGACGTCTCGGTGCTCTCCTTGTCCTATTGACATGGTGATTTTCTTTAAAGTCATCATCGTTAAACAAAGAGCACTGGGGGATGATGTCAGGCCATCCCAATGTCTCTTCAGGCACTTCCTCGGGCATGCCATGGCTTGTTCTCTGGTTTGCTCTCCTGCAGGATATTCTTGCAGTGTATGTGACAAAATATACATATATACACCTATATACAGAGTGTGCGTTCCTGGGAAGGTTCGTCTATACGATAAGTGATGTAAACTTATCAGAGATCTTCCCCAAGTTAAGTAGAGGGACTCCCAAAAAGAACTATGATAGCGGAGATCATAAAATAAAAATAATATTATACAATTCTAATGCAGAAACAACACTTGATTCTCACAAATATGTATATGAATTCCAGGAAAATCTTTGATTATGTGTTAGTTCGGCTTCTATCTGTACCAAGCTTTTTGCCCTACGTTGTGCAAGTTAGGAGGAACGACCCCCCCTTGCACCCAATGTCTGTGCAGCATTGATCAAAACATAGCTACTTTTATAACTACTTTGTGGTTACAGGGTTTGACTCGCACGTCAGCAGGAGGCCAGGCATTGCAATTGCGAATAAAATCTGCTTTATCAGAGATACCGTCCTGATAAATTATTTGGATATTTCCAAACAAGGGGAGAGCTTGTCCTGCAGCCTGCTGCTGTGCAGGAATGCTTAAGAGGTGCTTGTGCTGCTCTCTATTTTGGTGGTAAGATGATTGACTCATTGCTGTACTTTGTTTTTAGGCACATGCTCATTTGGCCCTCAGCTGTTGAGCCAGAGGTCTGCTGTCAGTTCTTTCAGCCTCCCAGTCTGAGACAGTTTTGTGATCATTAATCTGATTTAGCCAGGAGTGTTGCTCACTGTCTTCCTGTGGCAGGCTAAAGGAGAAAGGAAGGAAGGAAGAAAGAAAGAAAGGGAGAGGAGAGAGTGCACCATCACACTGGCTTTGCTGGGAAGGAAGCCTGCTAAGAGCAGTGCTGCTGCTCTGAGTCCCAGCTGGCTTTTACCCCTAGGCAATGCCCTGCAGGTGGGCTGGCGAGGTTGGGGGTTGGGCAGGGATTGCTGCATTCCTTCTCACACCTCTCCTGCCTATTGTTTCTCTTGTCTCAGCAGGCTCCAGTTTAACATCTGCCTGCAGCAGAGCAGCAACTGGCTACAGAATGTCCATCTCAGGCAGGGGCTTGGGGAAGCAGCCAGGGAGGGCAAGGAGTAAGAGATGGGAGTGCAGGGTGAGAGAGAGGTGTCCTCAGCCAGCATTTGCGTGCTGGGAACAGAGAAGCCACCGGGGTGGGAGTTTCTCTCCTCTCCAAGCTGCTTCCCTGGGCCTTGGCTGTGCCCAGCAAGGAGCACTTGCAGGAGCCCATGGCCTTTGCAGAGGTGACCATTTATTTCAACAGAGAGGAATGGGCGCTACTGGACCCTGCGCAGCAAGTGCTGTACTGGGATGTGATGTAGTAGACGTACCAGTGCATGGCCTCGCTGGGTGAGGGCTTTGCTGCTGCTCCTTGTTAGGGCAGCTCTGGCCGTGCAGAATGAGCCTCTGCAAGCAGGGTGTAGAATAAATGCAGTGCAGTTACTTATTGACCAAGGCAACAGCAACAGAAGAAACACAGAAGCATGAGTTGCAGAATTGCGTGCTCAGTCCCTTGAGAAAAGCCCCAGAGTCACTGCTGACACACAGGTGTCAGCCTGGAAGGGTTGGATCAACTCCCTGCAAACAGCCCTTGTGCTGCAGCTCTGCATGGTGCCACCAGTTCCAGCACCCAGACATCACACATATCACTCCCTTAAAATTCTATACTTTTTTGTTCATTACCCATAAACCTTGTTGAAGTGTTGGTAAACAAACATAAATTTTTGCTGCATAAGTGTAAATCTGTAGTTAATTAATTAACTTATTACACAACTGATCATTATTTTGCGGATATCTGCTTGTCTTTCTTTCCACAAAGATAAGCTCGGGAGAAAGATGGGAGTATCTTGGTGCCTGCTTGTCACATCCCAACCTTCTCACGGGGTGAGACAGTCGGGCCTTGTGTAGAGGCCCTAATTTCTTTGATGTTTGCTACATCTGTTTTTCTTTTGCTGGGAGTTTCTTATCCTAACAGAACAACTCTACAATATGTTTTCTAATCCCTAACACTATACTCACATTGTTTGGAATATTTAACAACTATTACAGTTTTGCAAGAAAGAATTAATCACTAATTCAGTAATAATGTTTCTAACACATACCGCTAACATATACAGTATTTTTACTTCTTACATCAACTATTTCTAAGGATATGTTACAGAATACAAATGCATTATTTTCTACTTCTTCAAACCAATTGATCTTTTTAATATCAAATGCAGAAACAACATTCCATTCCCACACCGGGACAGCACTGGGGACACTAGGGAGGTGTCAGGACAAAACCAGAGTAACCATTGAAGCTGTGATGAGGACAAGCTGAGGACATCCTGGGAGTCTGGGGGGCATCAAGAGCTATTAGGGACATCAGGGGACACTGGGGGTGGTGGGTGGTCAGGAGATGGGGAGGAAAAGTGGAAAAATATCCCCCAAAATGAGGAAAAAAACTCTGGAAAAGGGAGAATCTATCTCCCGGAAAATCAGAAACGGAACAGTACACGGCATGCCCCCACACCACGTTCCCAGCCAATCGTCCTCTGGCTGTGCAGGAAGCTTTCCTTTCCCTTTGCAATTCCTTGTGGCAACGCCCAGCCCCGTTTTGGATTCGCTTTCCTTCTTTTCACTGTTACCGAGGTCGGCTGAATCCCCACTCCCGAGTATCCACAGGGATGGGCCCATAGGTCCCCAGCCTCAGATTTAACGGTATTTTCTCTATTTTGTGGAAAATTGGCTCAAAATAAGCTGTTTTAATACTTATTACTATGTATTTTATTACTTATTACTAATTACTTATTATTATTACTTATTACTTATTGTTATTAAGTAATACTTATTACTATATATTTTCTGCTATAGCACTAATTGCTGCTAACTGCATTAATTTCTTGGAGTTTGGGTTTTCTGCGCAGTCCAGCCTGAAAGCAACGACCTTGGGACCAGCATTTTTCACCCTGCTGCCACCACCCATGTGGACACAGGATATCACCAGGGCCATTGGCCCCTCTGAGGTGAGGCAGAGTGCGGAGCTGTCCTGAGGGTGGGGACAGGGGGTGGTGGGGGGACAAGGGGTCAGGGGGGGACAGAAGGGGGGACAAAGGGACAGGGGGCAGGGAGTGGCAGAGTAAACAAGAGGTGGTAGAAGGGGACAAGGGACAGGAGGTGGCTGACTGGACAAGGGGACAGGTTGGGAGGTGACAGCAGGGAGGGGAGGACATGGGACAGGGAGTGGCAGAGGGGACCAGGGGACAGGGAGTGGTAAAGGGGGCAAGGAGACAGGAGGTGGTAGGGGGACAGGGTTGGTGACTGACAGAACAGCAGTTGTGGTGGCAACATAGTGGGGAGGGATCAGAGAGGATGGGGTGGCTGGCCTTGACGTGGAGACATGGGGACCAGAAGACAAGGACTGGGGTTATCATCAGGAAGATGGACCTGGTAGGGACCTGGTGGGGATGGCAGAGACAATGCAGAGGTCTTGGGAGAACCACCACCTCTCATGTCCTCATCTGCAGGTGTCCCCAGAGCTGCTGCAGCCCCTGGTGACTGTGGTGGCCACCTTGGGCAAGTTGGGGGCCATCCCTGGTGACATCTCCCTGGGAGGGAACATGGGCTCACTACGGGCCAGGCTGCTGACCTTCAGCTCTGGTGTGCGCAGAGCCATGGTGCACCCAGATGGCGATGCCACCCTCCTCCGATGCGCCCTGGGGGCATCCAAGGAACAGCCTGGTGCCCCCACAGCCATCACTGACTCGTGGCAGGAGGCAGTGACCAAAGTGAAGGACATCTGGGCTGAGCTGCAGGAGGATGCTGCATGTCTGAGAGATGCCTGTGGGAATGTGGCTGCTGCCAAGGCTGCCACTGAGGCCACCAAGGGCCACTTGGTGGAAGCAGTGACACGGGAGGACAAAGCACACAAAGGGTTGATAGCTGCCACCAGGGTGGTGCCTTTGTCCTCAGAGGTGGCCCAGGTCACAGAGGTTGTGGCAGCCCATGATATGCGGGTGGCAGAGGCCAGGGAAGGGCTGCAGGCAGCCACCAAGGCCACTGAAGAGGTGGCAGTGGCAGTGGTGGCATCAGTGGCAGCCAAGGAGAGGGGACAACATGCGGCAGTGGCCCATGGGTTCCTGGTGCAGTTGGTAGCCGCCTGTATGGGGGCCTATAACTACTATAGTCATGTGGAGCATTGTCTCAGGGACATCAAGGCCATGGTGGGTGTCACTACTGGATATGCTGGCCCTGATGTCCCCAAGGCCACCCAGGGGGACATGGGTATCCCCAAGGAGCTAGCAGAGATAGTGGTGGTGGCCGAGGCGCTGTGGGATGCCAGCGCCCGTCTGACCCAAGAGCACCTCTTGGGGACACTGCGTGGTATTCGGAGCCTGCTGGCCACGTCCAGTGTCACTGAGGCCACCAAGGTCACCCAGCGCTGCCAAGAGGCCACTGACGCCCTCCCTGGGCTGCTGCCACCAGGGCTGTGCTAGGGGACAAACATGTCCATCAGGAACCAGTGGTACCAACACCACCATGAGATCATGGAGACGGCAGATGAGGCCTTCAGGACTGCCATTTCAACCACCAATGGAGTGAGAGCTGTCACAAAATGTCACCTCAGTGTCACCTCCATGCATTCCCTCAACACCTCCAGGGACAGGGATGCCACCACTTCCCTATAAAAATGGGAAAACCATTTTGTTTTATAAAAATGGTTTTGTTTTATAAAAATGTTACCACGTGACGAGGTTGTGGCTCCGTGTCACTTTATCCCTAATGTCAACAGGATATCCTATGTCAGCAGGATCCTCACACATCTCCACCTTTGTCCCCTTCTCATGTCTATCCTCCTGTTCCTCTCCAGGTCCATATGTATCACCTTCTCATATGTCCCTTTCCCATCCCTTCTATGTCCCTATATATGCCTTCCATGTCCCTTCCCAGTGGGCCCATCAGTGTTTCTGGTGCCCCCAAAGCCATCTCAACCACACAAAGGGGTCCTGGTGTCCCCATGGGTTGCTTCTGGTGTCCCCATCGTTGGTTTCGAGATTCCCAAAGCTACCATGACAACATAAGGGAATTCCCATGGGTGTCCTGGTATCTCCAAATCTCCAAGGCCACCATGGTCATGTCCCTGTCACCTCCTGTGTGCATCACCACATGTCCCCCCCCCTCCTGGAATGGGATGAGATTGGAGATCTCCAGACCTTGCAAGCAGGTGACAGCCCCCAACCACCAAAATCAACAAGCATGATCCAAGAGTGGTCCTGTTACATCCTGTCACAGGCCAGGAGCTCCTGGAGTCACTGAAGGACTATTGAGAGGTCTTGAGGGGCTGCCAGGGAGGCAAGATGGCAGGGTTGGATAAGGAGCTCTAGTCTGCAGGTCTGCGGGTCCCAAGTCCTGTGGGACTCCCCACAGCACCCCTAAGGAGTCCCCAATCCCAAGGGGATCCCTTCACATCCCACAGGACCCGTCAATCTCCATGGGACGCCTGTGACCCTTCGAAAATTCCCCAACACCAGTGGGAATCCCCACACCCTCCCAAATACAATAAGCCCACTTGAAAAAAGGCAGAACCTATGGGAACCCACAGACCCTCCCAAATCCCTATAGGACTCCCCCAATGAAAAAAATAAAAAATAATAAAAAAAAAGCCCAGAGTCCCACAACCCAGTGCGACTCCCAACCACAACGGCACAACGGGATTCCCCAAACTTCCCAACCTCAATAAGACCCCTTCCAAATAAATAAATAAATATTTAAAAAAAAAAATTAGAATAGGAGCCTTTGGAGTCCCCAGTCCCAATCGGAGACCTCCAATCCTCCCAACCCCAATAAGGCCACTCCCTCAAAAAATCAGTACCCCTAAGAGCCTCTAACCTCTATGGGATGCCTCCTTTATATCACTCTGATGGGACCCAAAATTCCTCCCGTACTCTCCTGATATCCCTTGGTATCTTTGGTACACACAGCATCTCCTCATTGTTCCCTCCCTGGTGGTTCAGTGCCTCTAGGTCCCCTTGGTCCCTGTCCAAGAGGCTCTGGGACCCCAATATCGCCCTCAGTTTTCCCTTTGTTCCCTCTCCAGTGACTCTGGGCTCCCAGTGCAAAAGCCATCACTGAAAAATCACAACTGTGTTTCTTGATCAGCAACTTCAGTTGAACCCAGAACTTTCTCACACCTCCATTAGAAATAAAAATAAACCCTAAGTTGACTGTCTGCTGAGACTTCAAACACAGAGATCTGTACATCTTCCAGGGAGGGATGTCTGGCAAGAGATTAAATAACTGTGTCTCGCTTTGCAGATCACCAACTTGTTCACTCATCATACCAGAAAGGGGTGGAGAAAGGGGGAAAAATTGTTTTCCCCAACCTCACTGTAAACGACAGTAACTTTGGTTAAAATAAAATAGCCCAAGCACTTTTTTCTTTTTTTAAGGAGAGAAAAGCTTGGCATGAACGTGCCAGGAAGGGTGGAAGCAAAGAGCTTTAGAGCACCGCAGCTAACACAGACTGCAGCTGGCATGGCTCTGCCCCATACAGCACTGCTTCAAAGAGCATCTCATGGCCAGAAAAGGCAGAAGTGCTCTGAATGTGTAACAGTGGAAAATAAGGCAAAGTCTTAATTAAAGACGCATTTCTTTTCTCTTCCGTGTTTCTACACAGTGCTCTCTGCACTCAGATACTAGGGAAGGACACAGACGGCCACGCCCCAACAGGCGGAGGGCACACACAACAGCACTCCTGCAGAGCCACCTCGTCCCTCTGCAGCGCGGCCATCCGCCCGTCACAGCGCTCCTACGGGAATCCCCTCGCAGCCTGAGCCCGGGGGAAGAGAGCAGCGGGCGGGGCACCTCCTGGCTGGCTCTTACAAGATTCGGGAGCCGCTCCGGGCGCTCAGGAGGCCCTCAGCCCTCCTCGTGGGAGCGGACAAAGGCTGCTGCAGGCGCCGCAGTGCGGCCGTTCGCTCCGTTTGTCCTCTCAGGAAAGGAGCGGCGAGACACGGCCTGAGGCTGGCCGGGGCCGCGGTACGGCGAGCGGGTATCTCGGTCTTGCCGGCGGCTGCGAGCGGAAGCGGAGCTGTGCCGGGGAGCGGGGAAGTCCCTGGCGCAGCCCCCACCCCCTCTCCTTCTCAGCCCCTCCACCGTCCTCCGCCATCTGAGCGCACGGCGTGCCGTTCCCACTCCAGCATCAACCCACCGGCTCCCCCGCCGGACGCAAACCGAAGGGCACCCCCACACGCGGCTGCTTCTGGATACGTCACTTCCTGTCAGCCATCGCTTACTTCCGGTGACGGCACTTCCGGTCCCGCGCTCCGGAGGGGGATGCGTCAGGGGGCGGGGGAGGGGCGCGGCGGCCCCGCTGCGGCCATTAGGTGGGGCCCTGCTGCCGCTGAGTGTTGTTGATGCGGAGTAATGGTACCGGGCTTGGCAGGATCCGCTCAGCGCGCTGCTGGCGTGGCAGAGGGCGGTTTTTCCACTTGAGGTGGAGGACGGGGCCGCGGGGAGAGGCCTGTGAGGTGCCGTGCCCTCTCCTCGTGCCATGATCAAGGGCTGGCGCGGAGGGCGCAGCCCACGCAGCAGTGCCAGGTTCGTTAGGCAGCGTCACACTGCTGCAACCTGCTCGTAGCGCACGTCATGGCGCTAACGACTCGCAAGAGACGGCAGGGTTCCATGAACCCATGTGGTGGTGGAGGCACTGTGTTTTGCTTTTCCCTTCCCACCGGGTGCTGGTGTAACCGTGCAGTGGGCAGCAGCGAGAACCCAGAACTGCTGCACGGGCAACATCTGGGCGCAAAACGGGGCAGAGCTTGGAGGACTGGCGCTACATGCAGCCGAGTGCAGCCGAGTCAAGGTTTAGATCAGGTGTGACTCAGAATAATCCCTAGTTACAAACAGTGCTGCATGTTCTCATGTTAGTGACTTCTTGTTGATGCTGGTTTTCTTTTAACCCTGTCAGAAGCATGAGAGATGTGTGTGTCTACATACATTCAAGCTTTGGGGGAGCAAAATTACTCTCTCATCATCTGGTTGTGAAAAGACTGCCACAGTGGGTAGTTAGTACCACATGCAACTTCCTTTCCTCCCAAGTGGAGCATTCACTTACTAAGTTCAATGAAATGCAAATAGACTGTAGAAGCTGTTAACATTGCCTTCTTCAGCCCCACTGCTGAGGTCCTCTCGGTTCTAATGTCAATTTTTTTTAGTTCAACCAGATTGATCAAAGCTCCTGGACTGCAGAACTCAATTATCAGAGAAGTGGGTTTCAAACTAACAGCTACATCACAGATCAGCAAAGGCTAACAGAATTCTTACCGCATGACTTGTTTCTCCATTCACTGCTTTTTAAAGACTAGGAAGCCCAGCATCATTCCTTTCCTCTTAAGAGTTCCATGTTGAGAACTCCCCCAGGCAAGCCTGAGAAGAGTTCCAGCAATTTTTGCTCATTAACATTTCAGAAGAAAATCTGTTGGATTAAGGCACAAGTCCTCCCAGAAATCTGAATTTCAGAATACAGCTAAGGGCCAAGGGAGATGAGAGCTTCATAGAGAGAGAGGGCTAGGGAGAAAAAAAGAGGTGGTCTTTTGAACAGACATGATCTTTGCCTACAGAAAAGCCTCTCTCTTATTGACACTTATTGCCTATGTGAGCTCAGTGCAGTTCTAGCTAGCCTGCTGCTATTGTCATTTGTGGATAAAGCTTCAGGCTTATGAAGATTAAATGTATATTTTTTCTTAACACGTGGAACATACACTATAAAGTATAAATACGTGTGATAAATGTGTTCATGCTGAGTACATGATATTCATTAGGCCAGAAAAAGAAAAAATGGAGGAATTTACATTAAGTTTTTAGCTACACTGTCTGAAATACAAGTATGCAGAAGTCATCACTGAAAAATCTTAACTGTGTCTCTTCATCAGGAACTTCAAGTAAACCCAGAATGCTTTTTACGCCTCTATTAGAAAGAAAAGTAGGAAAAATAAATCTTAAATTGATTGGTTGCTTTTTACGCCTCTATTAGAAAGAAAAGTAGGAAAAATAAATCTTAAGTTGATTGGTTGCTGAGACAGCAGTGACTTTATACACAGAGGTCTGTACAGCATCCTCCAGGGAAGGATGTCTGGCAAATAATTTAATACCAGCTTTTGCAGGTCATCAACTTGTTGTCTGGAAAGTTGTTTCTAATTGTACTTAGAAAGAGGTGGGGAAATGACTTGTCCCCAAACTCACTGTAAATGACCGTAACTTTGGTTAAAATAAACTAAAAAGGTAGACAGAATTTTGTCTGCTTTATTAACAGATTCAGGACAAATTTAAAGGGCAGGGAAAGGGGTAAGGGAATGGGGATATCATTCCCCAAAAGAGAAGCAGGGCTGCACAGGGCAGACAGTGGATTCTAAGGTGGTGGTGTATAAATAAGGGCAACAGTCAGTTGTTAAGTTATTCTTTCCTTTTTCTCTAAATCAGTGTATAGATTTATCTCAATCCATGAGTTCTGCTTTGATTTTTAAAATTCTCTCCCTCATCCCATAGGGAAGGAGGAGAGTGAGTAAATGACCATGTGGTGTTGAGTCACCTGCCAGGTTAAACCACAACACCCTGTTGCGCTGCCAGACAAGCTGCTGCCCGGGGGTCTCATTGCTGCGTGGTAACAAAGCTGACCTGCAACACTGCACCTGTGGCACCCGATAGCACTAAGGTCAGCTCCCTGCTGTGCTAATAAAAAAAATCCTTACA